AGGCGGTCTCTCAAGTATCCAGATCCACTACCATGTAGGGCTTTATGGGTGATTAACAGCACCTTGAAATGAGAGACTCTCGCCAAAGTTTGAACCATAGAGCCAAACTCTGGCATTAGTTCCGAGTTCCACAGCCTAGAGGGGCCTCTCCAAATTTCAGATGGTTTTTCATTTATTACAGTTACAACTTCAATAGGAAGAGTCCGGTAGCATCTTTTCTGACAAATATACTTGACTAGCCAATAATTTAGCCACTTTAAGAGGCATAGACTTCAATTCCCAGAACCCCCTGTAATTCTGGGAGTTGAAGCCCATGCATCTTTAAAGTGGCCAAGATTGTGAAACACTGCTGTAGAGCAATATTTGGCAAGTGCTAACAAAGAAGGAGGCTGTGGAACAGTTGGACTTGGCGAGAGTTGTAGAGCAGTGGTTCCCAAACTTGGCAACTTTAAGACTTGTGGACTTCAACTCCCAGAATTCTCCAGCCAGAATTCTAGGAGTTGAAGTCCACAAGTCTTAAAGTTGCCAAGTTTGGGAACCACTGTTGTAGAGGATGTATAACAGATCTGTGATGCCTCTTCCCATATATTAGGGCCTCCCCAAGTTGGCTCTGATTTCTATCTTTCTGATTTCTATCTTTGCAACTGGTAAACAATACCCAAACTGGGCCCACCACTAACAAAAAGGTCTCTTCCCACCAATCCCTCACTGCCTTCATAAAGGGACATTGTAGGAGAAATGCCATGTTAATCAGCAGTAGCCCCAAACTGAGAGAGGTGTGCTAACACCTCTTCCAACTTATCAATTTAATCAAAAGATGCCGCGCAATTGATGAAGGGAGGCTGCAACTCAGGAAAACGTACACCTTTTAGTAAAAAGTGGAGGGTTTGATTTGATTTGATTTATTGCATTTCTATGCCGCCCTAGTCCCAGAGGGACTCAGGGCTGCTTACAAACCAAAGTAAGGGGGGGAATACAAACAGGGTGGGGGGGAGATGCTATCAGGCTCCTTCCAACTCATCCCTTTCAAATGGGGATGGGCAACACGTGGCCTCCCTGTAGGGGTGAGTTGCGGAGAGTTTGCAGGGGTTCGGGAGAAGCTAAGACTCTGTGCAGTTTGGAGAGCCCCCAAATCCCACTCCTGGCTGGCCATGCCCACACGTCCCCTCCCAGGAGTCCCCACGCAGGCTGTTTTGGATGCAGGTAAGTGCAGGGCATGCGTGGAGGCTTGGGCAGGGCGAAAAACAGGCCTACTGGAAGTTCAGGAAGCCATTTTCGTTCTCCCGGAGGCTCAAGAAAAGCCTCCAGAACCTGGGGAGGACAAAAACGCCCCCCCCCAATGGTGCAGGAGGCTGACATGGCCACGCCCACCATTGATTGATTTGATTTGATTTGATTTGATTT